CCTCAAACTCCTCCTTTACGCGAGAGCGGGGGGTGGGAGGGGACCGATGAGCACAAACAGATATAGGAACGATACCCTTTGATGAGAGGGCATCTTTTACCAGAGACATCAGGAGCCTACTACTGACTGCATCACATTATCATTCCGTTTTGTTCTCCGTTTTATCATTTTGCCACAACTGATCTTGACGGGCCCTTGATCCCGCCATGTTTTTTGCATGCAGTGGTTCTCCACGTTCTGCCCTATGTTCTACCACTCGTTTTCCCGACCGAGTGAACGAGCATTGACCCGGTCGTCCACTCTTTCAGTTTCGTATAAAGAGAGCGCGCGCAAGCGTTTGTACTTCTATCTGGCGCTGCTTTCCATGCGTTCAGATGTCTCTACGACGATGTTGCAGTGAGATCGAGAAAAACCACGCTGTATTATTGTCACCACGAAAACAAGAGGCGAGCCAGCCGCAGCCGGTGCATTGGAGAAATAAGCTAACGCAAGCAGCTCCGGGGTTTGACGCAGTGGCGGGAAATCCTGCGACCCATCAAGAGGAGCCAGGCGACAGGGAATGGAACAGGAAAAAGATGCGACGATTGGAAAAAAAGGAAAGGGGAGTAGCTTTGGCTCGGCGGCAATAGAATAGAGGTAGAAACAAGCAACGACTGCGGAAAAAGAAGAAATTGAAGAACATAGCAAAGACCGTAGCTGGCGAAGCCACCCTGTAGCAGTATCAGCGAAACAGTCGTGATGTTTCGCCTTGCCTTGTCTACAGCAGCATGGAGGAAAATGAAGAGATACACAAACGACTGTTGAAGGGTAAAGAAAAGTAGAGAGCTAGAGGTAAAAACGACAACGAAAAGGCCTCAGCTCCGTTTGTCTTCCTTCTATCCGCAGAATCAGTACGACCACTTCATTTTGGTCGTTTGTTCTTTGGTCGGACATACAGGCAGATGGCCGCTGAGTTAGTTGGTGCTGGCTTGCTCCCAGCTCGCGAGCCAGTTACCGAAACCGCTGGCTGGATCGGTCGGGTGGGAGGTCCGTCGTTGAAGTGCTTTTGCGGCAGTTAAGTTGGCGGGCTGGCTGCATGGTTGCTAGGTGAATTGTCGTTGGCGCCATTGTTTGGTTTGGTTTTGCCCCACACCGCCGTTTGCACTTGATGTCAACTGGTAGCTGCCAATAGCAGCTTTCTTGGCTACTGCTAAAAAATACTTTTTTCCCCCGCTGGCCCCCATTGACAAGAAGTACGCTAGCTGAGAGGTAATAAGGTTCGTGCGACAACTGGTTTTCACCTCTTGTTGCCGTTCGCGAGGTGTGCAATGCTATGCAGTGGCCGCCGCGGTGTCGCCAAGGAAGATCACAAGACGCTCCGTTTCTAATTTTTGCGGCGGGACAGGTTACGCTTGTCCTTTCATACACTCACAATTTTCTTGTACAACAGACATATGGCAGTATAGCATGCAGACGGACCCGGCGTCCTTTGCTGTCGGTACGCGCGAAGGCAACAGTCTTGCATTGTTTTGTTATTATCACGACGAGACGCTACAGAAGTAACAAACGGCAAGAAAGGGTGTAGCAAGAGCAGCAGCTGCCCGGCTATGACTTCGCGACCCATACGAGCTATTTTCGGTCCTCTTCTCTTTATTCGTCCCATGCGATGCTCTCGATCGTCACTTTTCCCTTATCTCTCGGCATCACATTCTTTGCCCTTCGGCATAGCAGGCACACCGGCCCCTGTCGCCTCCAATTGATTCCGTCCGCGATGGAACCGACTCGGGGACCGTTGACGAAGTGATACGAGGACCCGCAAACGTTCTTCTTTTACTTGTTCTCCAGTTACCTCCAGCTTTCAGTCCTTTCCTACTTATCCCTCTACCCCCGTACGACGCTCTTTATCGCCCCTTTTCCCTTATTCTTGGGCAACACATTCCTTGGCTTTTAGTATAACAAGAACGCCGTCTCCTCTGGCTTTCAGCTGACTCCATTCCGCTGCAATGCAGCCGGCTTAGCAGCCGGTAACAGCGTGGTACAAGAGTCCGCAAGCGCTCTTCTTTTGTTCGCTCTCCAGTTACCCGTACCACTTTGGACGGCGCGTCTCCCTAAAGCGAAAGAAAAGGAAGGTGAAGAAACACGAATGCTGTTCCGGTCAGTCCGGTATGCGAAACGGGTACTGGTTGTGCGCATGCATGAGTAGTACGGCCTGGCATGAGTAAGCAACCACCATGACACCAGCGGCGTGAAGGTTGCATGAAGCTTGCATGCGTCCATCATTCGTACACTCGAACCAACCTAACGCGAGTATTTCTGCCCGTCACTGAGAGAACAAGTAGGCAAGCCGCCATATCTCTTGCTTTTTTATACCCTCACTATAGAAACGATTTACATAAGTTGCTAATGAAGGGTCATTCGGTTCGAACAGAGTTATTATTGCACTTATTGCTAACAGGTAACTGTAATTAATTGAGTGATTATTTCAGTCGCTTGATCTGATTATACTTAGATATATTTGTATTGAGATAATACTTGCCTAAGGATTGAAGCAACCTCAATTAATGCGATAAGTTATCTGGTTTGAGCTAGTCAGGTTAAACTGCAATCAACCTCATAGATGTTGCCCTGTAAATTGCTGACATCAAGTTAAACGAAGCTTTGTCAGCGTCACAGTCGTTTATGTAGTAGGATTAATGTTTAGACGTATCTGTAATTCTTATCTAGATGGCTTAGCGAGCCTTACCTTACCTCTAACTTAAAGTGTGAGAAGTCTGGAAGGTTTTGCTCTATGCAGCATAAAAAAAATTTGGCACTCTAAGCATGACTACAGTCACCACCGAGATGCCTGTAGCGATGTCCAATATAGCTGCTCCTGCGTATGTGATAGTATTGACGGATAAGTACGGGCACTATAGATTCCTTTCGTCAGGTCCTAAAAATTCCTAGTTTAAACAGGTAGCACCTATATTTGAACAGAGATATGAACAGTTGTTTACGTTGGTTCTCCGTTTCAGCCAAGGTCTTCTACCTGACTCGTATGAACCCTAAGCCGTCTTTCTTCTCGAGGAGGAGTGGCTGCGCGTACAGGCTTGTGTGGATGTATTCCATCGGTACATTATGCCATATGTCAATCTCAGCTAAAACGAACGCTTGAACACTCGTGTATCTATTAGCTAGCGTAATATTACAGATATTAACGTTACGTAACGTTAAGACAGTATTGGCAAGGCAAACGACGTGATACTATACGGTTAGTTATACGTTGCTCGTGAAAACCAAAGGCGTCATTGTGCAGACGTCCAAATGACAAATGTACATAAAATTAAATTAGATTGTTTTAGATTAATTGTTTTCTAAAATTCTAGTCGACAGACAGATCTGGTTAGGATCAAAAGGTAAATGTGATAGTGTTTCTCGTTCGCCCCGCCGAAGGTTACGAGCGACCATCTTCTGACCGCTTTTGTAATAGTCCTCGAAGTAGCGCGAAGAGGCGACTCATTCTGCGAACAGAGATGTCAAATAAGAGGTATTTGTTGCCTTGTTGGCTCTTGTCTCTCTGATTTCTGCCACTGTCGCCCATAGCAGAGGCTACGCTCGCCAGTCGCACTTATATGTGTAGTAGACGTGTAACGAGCTGACTCTATACGTGGCCAGGACAGGCCCGAGCGAGGGAGATGCTATCAACCTTATCGACTCTAGCTGACACACGCCACGGTACCGTTCTGCGATACGACACCAGTATCGTCTTAACAATAGACTAGCCGAAGATCCGCTTATTTGTGTTATATGTTTCATAGGCTTTCACCGCTACTAGCGCGATTATTTAGGCCGAAAGGGATAGGGCCTGGAATCGCCCTATCCATGCCGCGGGCAGTTACGATAATCAAGCGGTGTGGTCAAAGCATAAGACTCACCAACCAAATTTACGATACGTGTTCTAGCAGTGCATGAGCGTCCAGCATTTTTTATAGAATCAGGACTTATCGAGCCCGCTGATGTTAGCGGCAACACTTATCAATTTTCCTCCACTTCGTTTCTTGCAGCGGCTTCTCGGTAACCACTCAACGAGCGTGTGCATTCATGAGGCAGGCGGCGTCAATGAAGTTGGCTACCACCATCGATGAAACAATCAGGAAAACGGCGATGTTGTTGCAGGCGCTAGCTGAAAGATAGCCAGCGAAAGCTCATTCGCAAAGCACTGTTGTTGCTGAAAAAGAAACAGGTCCTCACAGGATCTGGCCCAGAGAGAAGAACCAAGCCAGCTTGGTTGGCGTTTAGCGATTGTCGCTGTACAAATATTTTCTCAGCCAATAGACAAACGCCTGCAGTACACCAGTTTAACAAAATTGAAAAGTCTTCTTGAAAAGGAAAAGTGGGCGTATACAGAATAATCTAGCTACTTCGTCGATGAAGCGATACAAATACATTATGCTCGTTAGAGTTTTCTCTACTGCTACCGACGGGAAGGTTCATTTCAATAGTGATCAAGGTCTAATTAGCGATTTCTAATTAAAACGTACTTTTTTCGCTGTCTACATTATGGTGATGCTACAACACGTCAAACTTATTTTCGCACCTCCCGCGTACGACATACTAAATCTGAGAGTGTATCTGTACCCAGTTGTGGCATCTGGCGAGTGACAACAATAGAGCGATGGCTTCATAACGACTGACCCCTCACGTATATCACACAGCCCCCGCATGTCTTTTCTCTTTATAAAAGCAACTTTAAAATCTTTTAGCTCATTATGTACTTCGTTGTAGTAACGGGTAGTAAATGAGACATAAGCCTGTGTGACATGGGAAAAGTTGACGCAGTCGTAGAATTTCTTAACTGTAATAAGTCTATTTTTTTTTCGGTGGCGCGACTCGGGCGTTTGTAGTCACCCCCCACATATGCGCTATGTCCTTCCTGCTTCATAGGTCACTAACTTTCCGAGTCACTATCTGAGAGTGTTCCCATTTGGGAACTGGTAGTAGTAGCAGATTTAAAGGCAATTTCATTTCTATTTGTGTTTCAGGAATGTGACCCGATGATATGCTCATCGCAGGGGTATTGTTCTTCATCTAATAAACACAGTGAAGACCCCCGAAACAACGTCAGCCTTGCTTCACACAGGTATTTCTCATCTATCTATTCCAATGTTCCGCGATTCATATTTCGCTCTAAATCAAAAACAACATTATCTTGAAATGGAAGCTATCGTACCTCGTTTTTTTCCCATCGAAGTTCACAAGCAAGCAGAATTGCAAAGCTGCCAGTATAACATGATCGATATTACGCACCACGGGAAAACGAGCACAATTAGAATTGTTCTTGTAGGTTCCTATTGGCGAAACCGGTTCGGTCCCGAGTTTGGTCCAGCAATTTTTTAATTATTTTCATTGAATTTATAGAATTATGTGTGATTAATTGGATTCAGTTGTAAACAATGCTTTACGGACATAAAGCCCGAAGCACTTATTTGCAATTATGTGTACTAAACCGCGAAAATACAACATATACCAAGTGGTGCGGAGAGGAACTTCAACAAAACCAGTAGCATTTCTCTATCCTATAGGATTTTTAACTAGATTTTATTTAGGCCAAGATTAAGGACTGGCAAAACAGCCGAACTTTCGTGGAAACGGCCTGCTGTTCCGGCTCGAATCAAAAACTGTGTGGTCAATTTTCTATCAAGGAACATTTATCGATAAAAGTAACTATTATACGTTGGATCGATGATTAATTATTAAAGATCTCTGATAAGCAATAGTGAAAATTGACATTGAGCGTACACTGAACATTTCAAAAACGTCTATTCTGCTATTATATAGTACAGGTGTGTGCTCTCTAGCTGACGCTACATAGCTGGGTACGCTTTTGTCTACCGTCATTCTCTGTCCGATTGGAGAATATACACCCGATTTATCTGATAAACAGGAAACTAGTTTAAGCACAGTAGAATCACATCATAGCGTACAACAAGCACAATAACGCCGAAAGGAGACATTTAGGAGCGTGCGTGTGTCGTACGGGAAGCGTTCTTGCGTGCATGCCTATCTGTTGGCGGGCCATCATACGTGCGCATGCTACTATTGAATACGAGTAACACATTAAAGCGGCTATGTGGAAATTTTTTCGTGCCTTCATTTTCGTAAGCATGGTCGGTGGCGGTACCGTCGCCATTCGCGACAACGTTGTTCTTGTTGTAGCCGTTGCCATTTTGCTATCGCTTATTCCACACTGGATTGAAACCGGTCACCGATTCCGATCTGGATAATGACGTATGGGACTCATTCGCTTCATGTTCGCTTCACCTTCTATGTACCTTTCCGTGTGTTTTTCCTTCTATTTTATTGCGTTTCGCTTTTCTGAAGTGTCCCCTCATTCGGTTGCTGGCAGGCATAGATAGAAGAGGTACATATGTCTCCGCTGGCGATGAACGAGCGCCTGTTGGCATATTGACGATCTAAGCTTCGGATCAGTCGCTCTCGATCGATGGGTTCCAATATGTACGAAGGGGAACGAGTAAGTCACTCTTCTGATCTGCAGCGTACACCGACAAGTTACTTTCTGCGACAGCGTCAGCATTAAGCATCAGCATTATTGCAGTTTCTGCGACGACTACAGCTGCCATTATTGTCGTTTAGTTAGTATCATTCATCAAGATTTTTTCTTTTAAACCACACGAAATGGGACCAATGAGTGGGGACGTGAACCGTGGAAAGAGAGCTAACATACGAATACTGCAGTAGTAAGGCTTATGCAGATACTTTACGCGTGCGCGCTCATCTTAGTGGCTGCGATGTATAGAGCTATGCGTCTGTTAAAGTGGTGGGGGTCATAGACGGCTAGATACGTTGACATTTACCAACTATTAGGCAGCTAATTTAGCTTACTCGACCAGGACCAACTGTTGCCTACGAGGATCCTTAATACAAAAGAAAGACTCGGTGGCGCCAAGCCAATTGGCCTAAAGTGCATAACGGGCTATGCGACTCCATGTGGGCAGGGGAGGCGAATGATGACAGGTGGCGGGTGGCACGCCGATGTCCAACAGCAGCTGTCGTTCCTAGACTCCAAACGTCAGCGAGGATATCAGCGCAAACAGGCGCGATGACGATTGTAACAGTATGAGACGTAGGCACAGGTCCGTACTGTGATAACCCAGGAAATTACCGCTGCGTTAATATACACACTATCGATACTAAATTTGCATGCAATTTAAACTTCAAGGCAGAATAATGTAGGTCCCGTTACCTGAAACAGTTTCTTCTCAAGTAGCGCAGAACTTATGTGTCGCAAGTGGAAACGCTTTTCGCTAACAGTTACATATAGAACCACTTTGTGGCCTGACTACTTTTTTTGGTATTTGAGATAGTTATAGCGCAATTCTTAACAATAGACGTATACAGGAGTTTGCGGTTGTCAGACTGATAAGCGCTTAGGCGTTAGATTGACCTAATGGCTCTTTGTCTACTTTGGTTACAGCAGCCCTGATGATAGCATTAGGATACGAGCGGGCTCGGTGGAACTCCTTCGGGAAGGCGGAGGGAATGCTTCAGGAACAACCGATCAGTTATCTCACGAAGTAGTACTCGTCGATCCATCAATGGCATCTCAAACGAAATGTGCAGCCCTTAAGCAAAACGAATCAGATACCTTACAGACGAATAGCGCACGACTGCCGCGTCAACAACTAAGATTTGAAACAACTTGTCCTCAATTGACGGGAGTGTGCACCGGCCGTTATTCTTCACTCCATATTGATAAGGCGGTATATATTCCTCGCATCAATCACGCCGGCAGCTTCCGATTAATGGATACGCCAAGTTCCCAGCCGACGCACCTCCAGCAAGAAGCACAACAGAACGGTCTTCATTCGCGAATCTGGCCGCCGGGTCGACGTCTTACCCGGGCCGGAATGGCGGGGGTTAAAGCGAGTTGCTCTTTGGTGGAGCTGCGCGGTAGCTGTGGTGTTTCTGAAATGCGATTAGGTTGTGGAAGTAGCGACGCCGATAGTAGCTTTGGCAGTCTGCTAAGGCTGAGTGGCACACATTGCGGACGACCTGCGAGACTACTGCACTTCGCCGGTAGGGGGCCAGATACGTTAGTTACAGCCAATGGTAAGTTAGTGACAGCGCTATCTTGAAAATTATCAACGACATTACTTCACTGAGAACTTGATGTTCAGATCGTATCTAACTGTGGTCGACATGTGAGACGAATGAAGAGATTATTAACTTTTGCTGACCTTCGACTGTCCGCAAGAGGCCGTTTAGTTTACTGCTTTACATGCATAATGTACAGTACATAGATGAGCATGTGTGTCAATAAAGTTACTATGATTAACTATAGATAAGGGCAGAAATAGGCGCAGCGGCCATATATAAGCTGACAATAACTGCAATAATTAACACGCACGTTAAATACCATACGTCCAATGACACTAACCAGCCCACATAGATATATTCATGGGCTACATTAATCGCCAGAATCGACGTTTGAGATACTCAACAGAACCGCAGGTTCAAGCCCCATAACAAGCGTACAAACGGGAGAAAAAGATATTGGATATGCTCCGCTTGATCTTTGAGATGGGGATGGTTAACGGGCTACGAGCTGATGAAGTTCTCACAGGAGTGTAAGTATCGGTGAGCGCCGGATCTGCCGAGGCGCGTTGTCTTATTTGGTTCGTCGTTTCCCATTGAACGGTCAATTAAACTTATGGTTGCTAATAAAAAGAAGCTAAGATGCCTACATGGGTTCGCAGATTACATTTACTAGTCCGCTTAATGTACGGAAAGGCAGAAGCGTCCTTGCAAGCGCTCGAGCCGGAAGAAAGCTCCAAATTTACGATTGCAGTTACACTGAAAGAGCCCGTTTCACATCACTTCACAGAAGTGTAAAAAAAAAAACGGTAATTTTTTAATGGCAGCAGCGTTTCTGTTCTTCGCATGAACGCACAAGAAAAAATCCTAAGAAGTCAAATCACAAGACTAGAGCGGACACTCCCTGTTATCGACGCATACCGAAACGAACCATCGTAATTAACGATGCAAAGATCAATCTGATTGTTTCGTGCGCTTCGTGGCAAGACGTTTTACCTTGTCGAAACCAAAGGCTGTTCGCATCCAGTGCTCTCTCATTTCGGTTAACGAAAAGGTTCGCAGCATGTCTTGATGGAGCTCGTCATTAGTTGTAACTGCGAAGAAAAATGGCCGAATGATACCATCGTTGTAAAAATAACAGTGTATCTGTTGTTTTGAAAATAGGTTGCGGAGTATACATCGTCAGACCGGATTGTCCATGTTGTGGCCGTTCGATCGGCGTCCACACTGCTTTTTACCATAACGATGCTGTAACTCGTTCGATTGGTTTGTCGCGTTCATGGCCTGATTCTATGGCGAAAGAGCTAATGTGTGTGAATTTCTTGATCAATCCCCTCAGTGGCTCCCGTGCTAACGATAAAGCGTCATTCATACTGTGCGACCATTGTAGAGCGTCACCCCGATGAACTACCTATCTCAATAGTAGCTTTTCGAGAAAAGTAAGCACCATTTCAAACTGTAAAGTTTCGTCGTAACAAACCATGTACATTGTTGTGTTCATTGTTCGATAACTTGCCAGCCCGAACCTGATCACAGACTCAAGGAGAGAAGGACGAAATCAGCCGGAAACTTCTTCGGAACTCTACATATATATATATATATACATACAACGTCATGCGTTTAAGTTGTGAAAAAACTTGGCTGGCTGTTTGGTGGGCATGGCTACTCCTGGTACTAAACGAAAGCCACTTCTCGTTAGAACAAACTCGTCATGGCGAACTAAAGTGCCTTATGTCGGAAGTTGAATGGAGATGCTGTTGTCTAATGTTTCCGCACTGGGTGAACCCTTTTTCCTTAAATTGATATTCAGTTTCCATGGGAGTTCTTATATATTTCGTGAAAACTTCAAGCAAACTGCGACATCTTGAATGGAATTTGAATAAAAAAAAACTGAAAAAAATAGCTTGAGAACGTATAAGAATAATTTAAAGAGCAGTCTTTAATGCACCTGTGTCTTTGCTACAGCAATGAGTAGCCGTTTTATAGAAGATAATGCCAATTGCCTATTGGGTCGCCCAGATATACTCTACACCTTTCGGACATCTTTGCCGTTTTGATTTTTGGGTCTTTTAGTCTGCTAGCAGGTCAGGGTTGAATCTATAAGCTCACACCTGCCAATGCCGCTTAATGCACAGTTACCCTTGTATGAAGAAGTTGTCTACCAACTAAAGGAAGAACATATTGAAAACGGCGAAACTTTTAGCGCATAAAAGAATATATCTATTTTTATTTATACACAGTCTTTCTCAATAGAAAAACAACTTTCAATTTAGACACGTTTACTTAAGCGCGTAAGGACGTTAAAATACGGAATATTCAGAGTAGTGTAAACACAACTCCGGATTACACAGACATTGTAAATAGTCCCGCGTACTTATTGAAATGTTATGTAGGTATGAACACTACCGAGAGAGAAGCGCCCATATATATTATATATATAGAAATATACTCCTATAGCTCCTATATAGCCCATATATATAGAAATTCACTCCTTAGAAAAGGTAGCCCATATGCCAGAAACCGTATTGTGTTTTAATCGTACAAATATAATTGTTTTTTTTTTTTTAATATGTATTTTGCTAGATTCTCGTTCTTGTTTTATTGCACATAAGCACGTGCACTACATTTAACGCGAAGCCCATGGTAAAAGCTTCAGATCTTAACTAGATGGTCTTTCACACGTATGTTGGTAGCACTTTTGCAGACGGAGGAGACGCTTTGGTATCTGCGCCGGGATGAGTGAGCATCGTCCGCTCACTGGGGTTATCATGCTTTACCACTTAACTTTCTTTGTGTCGTACAACAATAGGAGACACATTTACGCCTCATATTGAAAAATTTTCTGCATCTCGTTATTCAGCTGAGCAAGCGTACAGGTACCCCTGTGTACACTCGGCTCCCCATCGTCGTGTAACAATTCCGTATTAGAAGCAGACCTGGAGTAATCGGCTGGCATATAGATCAGTGACGTAATGCGGATTTTTTTCGTTAAAATTGCCATTTGTTTCGCTATATGATATTCGTATTCGCTGTTCCAAAATTTGACGCGGTAAAATCTAGGATGGGCTATAGCCACTAGCGGAACTGAGAAAAGGTTTAAGGGGGCGACGAGGCTAGTGGCTATAGTCTTAGCCGCTAAGAGCGGCTAGACGTTGAGCTTTGTGAAAATGATTTTTTTCAATAACGCTTCTGTATATTTTCAGGTGTTACGTTGCTCCAGCAAACAGGCCAGCACTCAGTGTCAAGCGGAAGTATTGCAGAATCAGCGGCAAGCCAAACTTCTCAGTCCCAAAAAGAGCTGCGTATGATCCGAGGGCAACTTTTTCAGGAAGGCGATAGCAATAACAACAACAGTCTACACGAAAATCATCAGTACTCGAATATGATCGAGCGAACTCTGCAAAGTTATCACACGGAAACCTCAATTGGATCAAGGTGCGATGCCAGGCCAGCACATGTTGCTGAGCTGCGCCTTGACCAGACAGTGTCAAATGCGACAAACGCTGCCCGAAGACACCGCCAATTGCAGGAAGCCTCATCGGGCAAAAAGAATAGCATAAGCCTTAAAAGCAGCTTACGGAATTCTAAAGGGAGACAGCGGCAATCGGGTTTTAGGGACGGTGGGGCCGCGTTCGCCAGAAGCCGTCGATCAACAGTTGTTGAAGCAGCGTGTAACACGAGTGGCCCACATTGTAAACTACGACCAGCGCTTAAATTAGCCGTCCATTCATCTTTATCCACGTGGAACAGTGGACGACAGCGACAGCGATATGTACCAAATTCAGAATGTGATATCTACGGTAGTTTTAAGATACCAAGCCAGAAAACAGTTACAGTCACCGCCGCGTACGCGACTCAAAATAGTAACAATACGAGCAGCAGGAATAACAATAATATTGAGAATAGTTATTATAACCCTCATCAGCATCCCGACATTGGGAGTCGACGCTGTTCAGCCCCGACAGATGAAGAAGGATCACTAAAGCGTCCATTGGCAACGAAATGTCAAAGTATTAGTTCGGAGAAGCTTAGCAATGAATCGTTGATTGTTACCAGGTATTCTGGGCAAATCTGTGGCAGTCGCCGCGTGATCGACAATGCAAAGCTCTACGACAGCACTGACTCATCGGCGCAATCCTTCGAGACAGAAAGATCATTCCGTCAGGAATCGTTGACGGAAACTACTGACCTTTTTGGCATCGGCTGTAACGCTGCTAGCGTGTCGACGTGTAGACGTAAAGATCAAACAAACGAAGGCGAGACCGATTTTGCGCGATCTCTGAGAAAAAGTATTGCGGTAAACATTGAGAAAACCGAATTGTTGAATAGCATGGCTATCACGAGTTCATGACAAATTGGCAACAGCGAAAACAAGAACAATGGTACCGCACCTCTCTAAATGTATCTAGCAACTGGCGACGGCAGAAAAAGGTGGCACAAAATTATGCCTCTACGCACTGGTAATCCAGCCTGCACTGTCAGGACAAAGTGCGGTTGCTTCAAGCCTGAAGCGCTACTACGTCCGAACATTGATGATTTTGTCCGGTGGAACAAGATCATCTCATGCAATTACATTTGCCAGACTTTTTTTATTCATCGTGCTGCTATAAGGCGGAGTAGCAGTGGTAGCAACAACACGAACAGCTACCAAGTAACTGTGGCTAGCTGCCTGCTCCGTGACCTTTTGTATAAGATAGAAGGGACATAAAAACAAAGAGAGAAAAATACGCCCCTCCTATTGAGCGCTCATTGTCGAGAAGGCTTGTGATCGATACCCTACAAGTTCCCGCAGTAGCAAGATATTTCAGACAGAAAAAAAGTGATCATTACAGTAAGAGGAAAACAAAGAAAGGGCCAGATAACTTGCTAATATTTTCGTTTGTCTCCGCTACATTGCACATGAGTCAAAGTAGTTTTTCTCGTTGTTGGACGTGCGCAAGTGGGGCCGTGTCAGACACACGGAAGACACGGAGGAAAACAGCTTGAGCTTTCGCGGTTATGGGGTACAGCACTCGTGTGACGTGCACGGGGATTTCCCCAAAACTTTTCAAAATCTATTCCGTACCATTCGTTTTTATGTGATGTGTATGTACGTACGCACACAAAATTGCCAGTTACCGTCAGCAGCAGAAACAAAGAAAAATTGGGGGTGCTTGAAGAAATGAATTCGGATGAGCTTGGAGGACCACTGACTGCACTCGAATATTACTGGCTCGCAAAAAGGAACCGGGCCAATGGTCCTAGCGTCAGTCCGAAAACAACAATAGCATTCTTTCTTGGCTGAGCTCGAAAAGAGTTTCCGGGGAAACCGCAGACTCGCAGGACGGACGCAACCTACGATTCTTCACTGCCGTGGCCACAATATCGGCACAGCATCCGGATATTATGGTCGCATTTCCGAATTGCTGAGCAACGGCTGCACCGCGACATCGACTTAGGGAACTTCCTGAAAGCTCGTCGTTTCCTGTGTACTCTGTACCATTGACATAGATTCACTGAATGTTTCGAGTTTTACGTTCGGAACTGTGTCAGCATTATCTAAAACAACTACAGCTACTGCTATTATTACGCGCCATCAACATTTCGTAGCCAAAATAGTAATAAGAGAAAAATGCGACGAGTAATAATAGCAATAATAGTTATTATTGTTACAACAATAACAAGTATTCTGTACATTTCATGACTCCAGTACAAATATCCAAAAGTAAACAACAGCGGCAAAACCTAACAAGGGATATACTATAGAAACGGATCGAGGTATTGTTACTGAAAGCGTTAGAGTTCTGGCTAAAACAGATATAATTAAAATAAAATAAAATAGAATATAGGTATATGGTGACGATATTTAGTAGTAAAGCTAGCAGTGACAGATAGCAATGGTAATTAAATTATATATTATGATGAAAAGCATTTTTAGTGGTAGTTCGAGGCGCGCAGACTCCAAAGGTCGGGGGGGGGGGGGGGGGGGGACAGAATAAAGGAAACACCATCACAGATACCGGAGACAACGCAGGTTTATTACAAAAGAATGGTTCCGACAAAGACGGAGACGCACAGAATGAATACCAGGCCGCAGCGGATCGTTTCTTAGGTTATTGTTGATTATTAGGTTGCTGCTCCATTTACATAAATGGTGTACGAGTATCAGTTGAAACGTTGCCATCTTGAATCCGGTGGCAGCATCTTACAGAGTAAGACAATTTCTATGGCCTGCCACGTAATCGCTTCATCGACTGGCCGAATATTATTCACAGTATTGCAAATAGGCTTTGAAGCTTGAAGACGGAACTAATTATTATTGGATTGGAATGACGCAGAATCCGTATCGCGCCATGTTGTCAGAGGACTTCGCATTCGACCCGAGCACAAAGTCCCATCCACACCTTAGAGTAGTATTATATACAGAAAAACAGTGGCAGGTTTCTGTTCATCGAAACATGAAATGTCACGCAGACGAATATTTGGGCTGGGATCATTCGAAAATGATTAGCCATTTGAATGAATACATAGCCACCTCTTGTCAATGACAGACAAAATATCATCTTAGATTAGATGGATATCGGCTGTCGTGATCCAATAAGATTGGTTAAATTACTGTTGTTATATAGGACATCTCCAGTTTAAAATGTTTTGGCCAGGTCTAGCTGAATGCACACAAAGTAGGAAAATGGACCTGCAATTAACCAACAATGCACGTTTAAGTTAGGGCTGAAAGGGAAGAGAGCTTAGGATCTTATCTGTTTCCTCTTGAAGGTATTTGACATGCAGGCACACGTCATACGAGTCCTGGCGTGCATAAAGCCCATTGTTGACAGGAGTTCGCCGGCAGTGGCCCATCGGTACTTACAGCTGCTGTCACGCCATCTGTTGTCATTTGTGAATGTCATGAATGTATGATACTATGGTTGTTGTGGTACCAACAACAACGAAGATTCTAAATGGGTCAACTTTTAAACAGGCGCAGGAGTCGTAGTGAACATTTAGACGCATCACGCAGGGCGCTCCACACAGCAGACAACTTAAAAGTACAGCAAACTGGTGTGCTAGCAATCACCTTCTTCGCAGAACTTCGTTGTGTTTTATTAGCTGCCTGCCACAAAAGAACGGAACGAAAATTTCGGGTGAATGTAACTCGTAGCTGAGTAACTTCGGCCGTAGTGATGCATTGCTGCGCTCGTTTTAACATTACATTGCTATTATGAAGCGATCTCTATTGGGCTCAAAGTGTCCTTTAATACACGTTAACCTGGCAACGACATCAAGTTGATAGCTTTCGAACCTTCGCATCGAATAACTATTTTCCTAGTGAAATAAGGCGTTTATCGTTTCTGCGCAAATATTCGAAAGGGTTCGCGCCCTACATCAGGACTACGCCGGAGTACGGGTAGCTGACGGTGCGTAGAGCGCGCTTCACGTATCGAGTACACTGGAAGATGATGCTGCATAATGAGAACGTGCAATAGAGATTATATTAAGTTGCACGTTCGAGCATCGCTATGTTTTCTCTCGCGCGTCTCGAACAGTATCTCGGAGTGATACGACACAATAACGGTTACTAATAATGTGATTGAAGATAATGAAACAGGATATTAGATACGAATAACGGTAAGAAGATATAACGTTCACGTTCCCTTCATGCTTCAAAGCCTCCCGTGCGTCTTATAGCTTTTTCTCAATTGCGTTAAACATGTCGCGTTGCAATAACGCTTATAGCACTAAATAGAACTGATCAATTAGCATGACAATTCGCATGCCGTTGCCCACCTCTCGCAGTCAATGGAGCGTATACAATTCATGAGCCGCTGGTGGGTTTTTGTTCAATTTGGAGCTTAGAGTTGCTGATGGGCGTAAGGCAGACCATTAAGGCAATAGAGCTTAGCTAACGAAGATTTGATTTATAGTACTATTATTCTTCTTTTCAAATCAAATTCAGGTGCGGGTACCGAAAATGGATGGGATCTCGTTGGACAACAAAAGTGCAATGGGGCTGATACATCTCCGCCACTCACCCTTTTACACACATACGCACAAACACATCGACACATACACACTACACATATGTGAAAAGTCACCTATATAATATACACCGACAGAAACTAGTAATTATCAACGTAAGCGTTGATCTCACACTATATCAAACTGGAACGTATGAGTATTCATATATATGCCGTATATATACACACATATGGAAATAGCCTTGTTCTCGCTGACTTATACTGCTGCCGTCCGATGTTATTTACTGCTATTCGAAACAGCACTACTATGTACGATTAGTCTTATTATTATACATTATAGTACTAGATTTGCTGTATATATATATATATATATATACAGGCATACATATCTATATGTGCGTGTGGCAAGAAAACAATAAAAAACGAACAGCAGCAACAGCAAGTCTTTTACCATAATTGCATTAAGGAGAAATAGCCGATCAACAAACATTAATGATTGTAGAACATAAGGCAAATACACAACGACTGCATAGTATAACAGTACAGAGCCACAACAGAGGTCGGACTAGAAATCTACAAAAAAAAAAAACACTCTTCACACATAGTAATTATAGTAATTAAACGATGATCATAGCAATAATAAAAAGCCGAGAGATGTGCCAAACAGGCTATATACATACATCTTATTTAATTACGTATAGGTACACGGAAAAGCGATTAGATGGTGACTATTTAAAAAGGGAATTTCAGGTTATCTTATCTTAAAATTAATTTTTATATTAGACAGCGAAACAAGCAAATCCGTGGGGTAAAACGAAATGGACGAACGGGACCCTGCACACCTATTTCCGCGCTGTAAACAGGACCGGTGAACACTCCTACTTCATTCTTATAGCACAGATTAATCACTGCTAAATTAATGATCATCCAATTTTCGTTACTTCATTTATAAACAATGTATATTACTTCTAACGATATAGGAAAGGCAACACTAGTAGGTCAATAATTCTATTTAGCTGTCGTGAACAATATGGTATTGCAAAAACTACAGACTGGCTCTCACCAGGGACTTTATCAGAGATTATGGCTTTTCGTGATTTGGCTATACTATTTCCAACAGTAATTAAGCCAAAATCGTTTTGAAGGCCTTTGTCTTGATGTCACTTGTTCCCCTACCAGTATTCAATAGCCAAAGCAAACATCTTTTTATTTCTAGTAAACTTGTGTTGTGTCTGAAAACTATTATATGTTCAGTGATAAAGCTATACGTTAAGTAGTGTGCGTCCTCTTGTATGTTTCTATGAGACATATGCGGCAATATATTATTGTCGAGAGCTTTGTTTTTCGGAAAAATTCCGTTGGATTTAACTAGGGTAGCGTTTTTACTTCGTCATGTTCATTAGTTGTCTCGTTGTTGGTCCGACAGAGGGCGTCATTGGCACGCGGCATATTTGAAATGTTCGTGCGATCGGTCAATAAAAACTAGTACCGTATGTTAGTGTACACACAATAACTTGTCTTTTATCTCTCTAGGACTTCGAATATACTTGCCGTTTTGTATTATCCGTCGATCGAATCATTTCAGTAGATGGCTAATGGTTGAATTTCAACATGATCAAATAGACGTTCTGTGCGTTCGACACAAAGCGCAAGCACTTGCAGTTCACACAATATACATACAAAAACAGAGCAAAAAAAATAAAAAGGGTGATTGATATTTTTCGTAATTCTGCATAGCCAGAGTATACACGAGCTAATACCACGTACGGTCGGTACCATACAGCCACAGAGCAGATCTACAGAAATTCTAGAAGAATGATGACGTCGATTACGAAAATAATCGGTTTGATTGGGTGGCCTATTTGTTGACGTTGCAGCGGGGCAAATAGAGCGACGCGTTCTGACGGAATGACACACAAAACGATATATTGGCGGACAAATAAAGTACAAAACAACACATTAGATGGACAAACAGACGTTGATAGAGCGTAGCACGGCCAGACGAGAGCAAGTGAGAATGAAAGAGGTGACTAATATGACCACTAGTACTCCCAAGCTAGACAGATAACCTCTTCCCAAACAAATTATATAACTAAGCATAACTACCATTGATGATACTAGATGGTTATTATTACGAAATATCATTAGCAAGCTAACAACATATCACGGTGACGAGCGAACGGCACTAAGCTCAGCAGATATTCTCGAGCCAGTAAAGAAAACTGCTTTTTGTTTAAATGAAGCCTTGTTCCTCCGGAACTCTAGAAATCGGTTCTAATACCTGACCACTAAGCTGCATAGACAGACCATGCATTTTCTGGCTACGAATTTCTGGAAATGAAAAGCATACGTATATGTATACGATACGATTCAACGAATCGTATATATATATATATATACGACTGTTGTTTTGCGGAACGGCTAAGGATTATACCGTATATCTTCAGTTCCGATTCCTGTAGAAGTACAGTACAGCCTTAGGACCAATTCGGAATATTGGTCGATACTACTCAGAGAGATCAATAATATCCCAGTGCACTTTTGGCACTATTATCTGGTCTTTTAGACAAGTTGAAAAGTAAGTGAACATTAGTGAGATCTACGTAGCTGATTTATTCGGATAAAGAGCTGGGTCAATTCCATCATTCTTCGACTCAGCATTGTCTACGCATAGACCTATTTGGTTCTCGACTGTCATCAGGTTGTTGGCATCTACAAGTGTTGCAACCTGGTTAGATTTGATTTCATTCAGGACACCCATTCGAAAGGACCGCTTGACAACTACGTATTTATTCCGACCCTGTTTCACCAGAAGGGGAGAAAGTGACGAAAATATTACAGAGTCCAGTAGGGGGTCGGACGTCACAATGACACAAATCAGTAAAATTACTATTGCTATAGTTATGTACTGGCATATTATGCAGACACTAGAAGCACATATATAGTTATCTATACAGTCACG